TGAGATTTCCAGAGCTATCCGGTATCCCTGTGGCAGGTTTTGGCGACTCCCCGAGCCAGACGCCTTGGGGCTCAGTGAGGAATAATGTGACATTCTAAAAGCGAATGCATAAATTGGGTGTTTGGAATATCTGAAGCTTGAAGGGTACATGTGTTCAATCTGAGGAGCCATACCTGCTCTATCTTGTACTTTATCATATCTCGCAGTTGTTCCCATTCCGTGCTGGTTAATGATTAGCTTGTCCGTTATTGCACACGGGAAGACGGGGATCTGACTTTGGCTCTACAATGTCACTGGAAGCAATCTGCTCCAAGACGCATTGATAATCTGTTTGTGCGCATGTGAGTCGAGAATGGTTGCAAATAACACTGCGCTCTACCTGGGTTCCATTTAAAGTCTTTGGAGAGGCCATGGGGACTCTCAACCGCGGATGTCATGTCAGACTATGGGGGCCACAAAATGTAACATCGACTTGCGGTGAATGGCAGGATGATCGACAGAGGGCAGTGAGGGGCAGTGCTGACGGGTCACGGGAGCTATCAAGAGGATATCTCCCAAGCGAATCACAAGAGCTCCGTTTAGCTTATAAGTATACGTGAACCGTGTCTCGCGGCTCGCCTCGCGACATTGCCATGCACTGGACAGTACTGTTATTCTTGCCAAACGACACCGAAATTTAAAGACGACTACCTCAACGTTGGGGCGTGCGCAGCAGCGTGCACGGCTGTGCGAAGTTCTTGGCAAAATTAGTGGATCCGAAATATATAGTAGGAACCCACTAGGAGTCCTGCACTCAGTCTATCTTATATGGCTCTCGTTCCCCAACCACAAGGTCATTTGTTTTCTTCGCATATATTTTCTGACGACAAGAACCAGACTGAACAGAGACTTTTCCGATGTTGCCAACAAACAAGTTCTCGAGAACTGCAAAGTCGCCTGGTAATGTCACGACAAAGAGAATTGACAACAAGAGGCGTATCAAGCTCCTCAAGTCCTATGCTCCAGACTGGTGCGTGGATACATAGAGTGATTAGCAGATCCTCATTTGTTCGCCAGGATCATCACAATCCTCTTGGCGTGCGTGCCTCCCCCCGTAGCCAGCGACGGTGTCTCACCCTTCTTGCAGAATTGTGTTCTTTGCTCTCAATAATATTCATGGATTCAGAAGAGAATTTTCGGTCAACGATGAAACGTAAGTAATTTCTACACCACGAAGATTTGTAATCTTGAGTGACAATTCTTCTCCATAGGATCCGTTTTCCGTGAGCATCACGGTTGATTGGGAGCTGATATCAGCACTGACAGTATAAACGCAGTTATGCCGTTAAAGAGCGCGTGCCGGTATGTTCCATCTTTGGTGTTGACCTCGACAATTTTTGAACAATTCTATCCTGGCAGGATGTCGCTCTGTACTTTATCGCTGTCGTGGCTCCTCTAGTCATCCAGCTTGCAGTTAATGTGATCACAGTTCGCTCTTTCTGGGACTACCACGACAGTGCGCTTGGATGTTCGTCATTTTGACTTCTTCACTATCACGTCTACTGAGTGTCAGATTTGCCTCAGTAATCCTCGGTCTGGCTATTACGGGCGCTGTCACGCAATTCACCAAGATCACCGTTGGTCGTCCTCGTCCAGGCGGGTTTGATTATTATGCAGTGCCAAATGACAACCATTAACGGGTATAATTCTTAGACCTGCTTTCTCGCTGCATACCAATCCCAGGATCTCAAGATTCAACTTATGGATTGTCGACTGACGCCATCTGCACGCAGACTAACGGGGCAATCATGATTGATGGCTGGCGAAGCTTTCCCAGCGGCCACTCAAGCCGTACATTTCCGATTATTACTTTTAATGCACAACCCTAACACCAATTAATCATAGTGTCTTTTGCGGGCCTCGGATTCTTGTCTCTCTATCTCGCGGGGAAGATGCACCTCTTCGATACCAGAGGTCATGCAGTAAGCATGCCAACAGCTTCTCAATCATTTTCTGCTCACCGCCATGTTCTGCCGTATCAGCACAAGTCTTGGATTTCCATAACCCCCTTGTTTGCAGCGACTCTCGTGGCTATTTCACGCACTATGGACTATAGGCGTATGTGTTACAGAACCCGCCGATACTGTATGACTAACACCGACTTTTCCAGACCACTGGCAAGATGTCATCGCTGGTGCCATTTTAGGCTTTGCAATCGCGTACTTCGCCTATCGTCAATACTTTCCTTCGCTTGCATCCCCAATGTCGCATCGCCCCTATTCCCCACGTGTTCCGCGTGACGAGCCTGTTCTACCTACCACCGCCCAGGACCGTCACAGCGTCGAGGGCGAACAGGTTGACCTTATGGACGGCGGTGTGCTCAGGCCCGACCCGACTCCCCTTGAAGACATCTGGAGAGAAGGAGAGAGTGAAAGGAACAACGTGGAAAGTGCTTGATGCGCAAAGACGGCTTCGTGCCAGAGACGGACTATTGATGTGATTTATCTATTTGCTATGGACACTGGATCACCAGCTGGGGTTGGCTCCGCTCAGGCAAGCTGAGAAGCTCCCCTGCCACTTTCCATAGACTACATTCGACATATGTTTACCATCATCACAGGGGATATTAAGTCACGATTATAATTTCTTGATGAATCAAGGCGTGTTAATGTCAACTGATTCTCAATGCCTCTCAGACGTAGGACACTATAATATTGTAGATGAATTCATAGATGAATTCACGTAAGGGAGAGATTAGAGATGGGTTTGCTCAATCTGATAAGATGAAACACGATCGGGACTCAGAGGCCTCAAGCTTTCAAAACGGCGATACTCAATCCTAGTCGTTCCTCTGCCAACTAAACTTGTTAAAACACGTCTTACCCCGATCAATAATGTTTGGTTTACTACGAGGCAAGGCTGACTTGGATCTGAGCTATACATGTATAGCTAGGGGGGCACTTGCAGCACCGCCTCGAGAAAAAGTAAACTGCCCCAGTGAGGCTCGAACTCACGACCTTCCGATGTTCAAAGAGTAACAGTCGGACGCTGTAACCAACTCAGCCATGGGGCATGGACGATTAGTGACGAATGGACACTGTCATGGTCTTTTATTGAACTTTGATTTGGTGCTAACGTTGTATTGTCCGTCTCCGATTAACAAAAAACGCGTCCTATATTCAAGCTTTGAAGTAGGAACGTCTTCATATTATAAATCCTACTCTGCCTCGGGGAGAATACAGAAGGTTGAATAATAATAGTAAACGTGCAAAAAAAGCGTCACCTGAGCGATTCGAACACTCGCGGGCAAAGCCCAACCGCTTGGCTGTTAGCAGGCGATCCCGTTAACCACTCCGGCAAAGTGACTTGATTACCAGCTCATAACTGCTTGTGTCAACCATATCACCAACGCTATGAAACTTCTGCCCCTGAGTTGAATCAGAGTCAGAGTACACCCATTTGCGCACCAGTTAAACAAACGGTCTTCCCTAGACAAACTCGAGAGGAGATGGAGAATCATCTCTTCTCCACCGTAAAATAAAGTATCCCAGTTTCCTATGCAAACTCCTTCATGTACTGAACCAGTTTATCCACTTTATCTTCCGTAACCGCGTTGTAAAGGGAAATACGGATACCTGCTTTGTTGTCAGCGAGCTCGTGATTCAGGCTGAGAGCGAACAACTTACCTCCAACCGACCTGGGATGCCACATCGCTGAGTAGGGCACATGGTGGAGCAAAGAAAGTTACTCACCGATGACCCTTGATCCCCTTCATTCCCCTCCTGTCAGCACCAGATACAAATTCTTTCAGCTTTTCCTCTCCGCCAACTACGTCGAACACAACATTCATCTTGCTGCCCGAACCCTCCAGAACCTTACCCTTGAAGATCCCTCGGGCTTCTCCTTCCTTTATGGCGGCATATACCTTTGAGGCTTTCTTGTATGCGCACTCAGCGTAATGTCCCAGCGCTTGTTCCTTTCCCTTTCCGTTTTGTTCCCCGACTTCCAACATTCGCTTGAGCACGAGGCCCGTGATATATATCGACAGGACAGGCGGGGTGTTGTGTAAACTGCGACTGTCAACCAGAGTCTTGTATGACAGATACAAGGGGATACTGCTGTCCATCACGTTGGCCCATTCGTCTCTGACGATGATAACGGTCAAACCGGCTGGTCCGATGTTTTTCTGTGCGCCCGCATAAATCACTGCATGTCTTTCAATGCAGGGGATGGGACGCGACATGAACGAAGATGAATAATCTGCGACGAGAGGGGCTTTCTCCGGGAGGGCGTTGAACGGGAATGAGTAGGGGCTGTTCAGGTCGTCGTTAAATTCGACGCCATCAATGGTCTCGTTGGCACAGTAGTAAACGAATGCTGGGTCCTGGGAAAACCTTTCTTTGTAGCTGTCGCGATCGGGGATGTGGTTGAAAATCTTCTTCCCGTCCACAGATGTGGTTTGCGCATTGACGACGACGTTAACGGTCCCACCTCCAAGCCTTTTTGCCTCTTCCATCGCCTTTTCACTCCAAGTCCCCGTCACCACATAATCCATTGTCGGCTGGTCAGATGCCATGCCCTCGCGACTTCGATACTTTGCGAGCATGTTCACCACGACCGCAGAAAACTGAGCAGTGCCTCCTCCCTGAGTGAAGAGAACTTTATAGCCCTGAGGAATCTGTAGAAGTATCCTGATGTTTTCCTCGACTTCCCGGATGAACTTGTCAAATTCTGGGGAACGATGCGATATCTCTGCGATTCCGATACCCGTGTTTTGGAAGTTGAGGAGGCCTTTGCCCGCCTCTATGAGGACTTCCTCTGGCAGAGCCGAAGGCCCCGCGCCAAAGTTAGTAACTCGGTTGGACATGAGGATGAAGAGTTGGGTTATCTGGTGAGTTAAGCATTACTTTGATTATATGTGAAATGACTCAATGAGTCAGAATGAGGCAAGCACGGAATATGACGGCCGATCGACACAATGTGCATATTTGGCAGTACCATGTGAGAGGGCAAAAAAAGATCTGCCCCAGTGAGGCTCGAACTCACGACCTTCCGATGTTTCAAAGAGTAACAGTCGGACGCTGTAACCAACTCAGCCATGGGGCACGTACTTACTCGAGAAGACAAGGGGTATAAAATTACCAATAGACCAATATATATCTATCGTCCGCTTCGAACGTTCAACGTTCAGCGCCCAGCCTCATAGTGATGCCCAAGAAGATCAAAAGCTCTGGGACGACAGCTTCTCGTTCGGCGCCCAAACCAGGTGCAGCGTCTCGAAGCGTCTCTTTTCCAGACATATCACCCAAGGATTTCCTTGATTGCCATGTGCTCCTCGAAGACCAGATCATACTGATTGACGTTCGTCTTCCTGCACTAGTTGAATATCTGTCCTCAAGGTCTGGATAGGAATTTCTATCTCCTGAGGAGTGCAAGCATTTTGCCAAGTTCATCGATGAGCTGCCACTTGAACTTACGCCCCCGAAGAAGAAGGGCGAGGCCGAGAGAGTAAACTGTGAGCATGATCTATGCCCTGCGGCGGTGATGGGAGCCTATTATGCGATTCTACGGTTGGACAGACAGGTTCTCGGTGAATTCTGCAACATTTGCTGAGAAGCTGCACTCCTTGTTGTTGCCGCACCTCCCGGCATTTCCCTATCCACTCTCGGTCAGACGACCAGCCCAGAGTGTTCAGCCGCGGTTGCCCCACTCGTGCAATTCGAACATTCGCATGTACAAGTATATCCCGTCCCAACACTTTGGTCCTCACTATGATGATTCTGTGAAGGATCTTGCAACAGGCGCCAAGTCGGAGTGGACGCTCTTGATTTATCTGAGTGGTGTCGAGGATGGTGTCGAAGGGGGGGAGGTAAGCGTCACATGTACGTGTACTAGGCGTCTTATCTGATCCCTGTTAGACGCTCTTCTACAAACAGGAGAGGGGGAGGCCTCGTGAAACCATTGTGGCACCCCTTGCTCGCGGTACTGCGCTGCTCCATCGGTTCGTCCTCCGCATTGCTTATGTGTGATCCAACCCCTCATCGAACTCAGGCACGGCAATGAGTGCCTGCTGCACGAGGGCTCTCTTGTTCGCAAAGGGACGAAGTATATTCTACGCTCCGACCTCCTCTTCATCAATTGATTTAGACGCTGTCTTTCGTATCCGTATGGTGTATCCCATGTCGTATTCAAAAGAGCCATGGAGCTATCTACGACCCTTTGGTCTTTTATTCCTAGGCATTCCAGCCTCGACGACGTCATCATCCCGATCCCGATCATCTCTCCCTCCCTCGTCTTTTCTCCGCTTTTTACTCCCACCAGATTTTGCCTCCTCTTTCAGCTCATTCACAGCCAGTCGACCAGCCTCATCGACACGCTCCTTGAGAAGCATAACTTCCTCCTTACTAGTAGGAAATAATTCGAGCTTCTTGTCGATAACCTTTTCTATTCGTTGCAACAGTTCGACGTCGTATTGTGTAACTATCGTTATTGACTTTCCGGCACGTCCTGCACGGGCTGTACGTCCAACACGATGGATATAGTCTTTTGAATGGGTCGGAATGTCAAAATTGATCACCACGTCCACAGAGGGTATGTCAAGGCCCCTGTTTCGAATGGTCAGTGGTGAAGGAGTGGAATACATCTCACGTACCGACTGGCAATGTCAGTCGCCACTAGAACCTTCCGACCACCAGTTTTGAATTTATTGAGTGCGCCCAATCGCTGACTTTGACTAAGCTGGCCGTGAAGTGGAATGGCTGGGAATCCGAGGGTACGGAGGATGATGGACAACCTACAGCTCTGCATGAGCTAAAACTGGGGTTTGGGATACTTTGTACATGCCTCTGAGCATCGTGCACCGTCCGGGTGAATACCATGATGGAATTTGAGGCCAATTCATTTGCAAGATATATCAGGTGGAGGTCTTTGTGTATTAATGGTACAAAGAGATAATATTGAAGTAGAGTTGACACTGTTTGATATCTGGAGGTCTCACGTCAGTGTGACTCGCGGAAGAACAGCCGGGCTACTCACTTTGATGACACCTCAACTCGTACGGGATTTGATAAACTAGCTCTTTGAAGTTTGGCGACTTTTGTCGTCATCGTCGCGGAGAAGAGGTAGGTAGTCCGCTCTTTGGGGATCGCTTTCAGGATCTGGTCAATGTCAGCACCGAAGTCCATATCCAGTAGGCGATCGGCCTCGTCCATTACCTGCGGAGATCAGCAAGGAGTTCCACGCTGTTTCGAAAAGTGTAAGACGTACCAGAAATTTCAGATTCCTTAGACTAAATCCTTTCGTGCTCTGGAGGTGGTCATTGAGACGACCCGGGGTCGCGACAATTACATGAGGCCGCTTCGCGAGGGCGACCGCCTGGGGCATTTTATCCATCCCACCAATGAGCACCAGACATCGAACACCCATCGCTGCACCCAGAGACTCGAACTGTTGCGATATTTGGTATGCGAGTTCACGTGTGGGCGCGAGCACGCATGCGAAGAGTCCCTTTGGCTCCTCCCATAATTTTTGTAGGATAGGCAGAGCGAATGCAGCGGTTTTTCCTGATCCCGTCTCCGCGACACCGATAATGTCGCGGCCCTCGAGGGCATGAGGAAGAGCTTGTTGTTGGATTTCTGTAGGTGTCTTGAAGTTTATCTGGTCGAGTGCCTGGAGGAGAGGTTCGATCAGACCAAGGTCCCTGAAGGTCTTTGGTGCTGAAGTAGACATGCTAGCTTCTTCTGGTTCTGGCATTTGGTGCTTTCAGAATAAATCCGGCCTGCGAGATACTTGCTTGACACGAGCTCTCCAGTGATAGGACGGTCCTTCTGCGATGCAAGTTAGTAGTCAACTTGTAAAGATATTTTTCCACGATCGCGACTTAGGAAGTACTGGTTAGTCTTGTATGGCAAGTTGACCTTCAAACCAGCAACATAACCGTGTGCTCCAGTCAAGGGCTTTCTACTCGTTCAAATAATCGACGTAAAGCTTCGTGTGAGCGTGTCTGCTCCTACGACGAGGCGAGACCTGCTCGGAATGTCGAACCAGCATGTTCTCGTGACATTCGCTGCTCCCCCGTCCTCCCAGTCTCCTGATAGCTGCAAACAAGTTATCGCTGCACTGCGGTCCCAATTACCCCTACGGAGCATCCATTGGAAGTCAGCCTCTCGACCCAGCATACGCACGATCCAAGAGCTCGAGGTTACACTGGTTGCGCTTGACTCTCTTCGCGACGAACACACATCTCAGGTTCCCGTTACCCTAATCGACAAACCTCTCTTGAACCTGTATGTAGTGGCATGCGAGGTATGTCAATATGTATGCCAACCTGCACCCATCCGCTACATCACTCTACAGGACAACGAAACCTACAAGGCGACTGTCAAGAAGCAGATCAAGGACTGGCAGACATCCGTCATGTCACGGAAGACCCAGGAATGGTTGATCGTGCATGTCGTGCGGCCAGACACAAAAATAGTGGACCGCAAGTTTTTCAACATGAAGGGCTCCGTGTTGGACAAGATAAAAGCAGATTTCAACGTCGAGAAGCGAGATAGGTACTGGCATGCGTTACTCTGAATCCTATATGTTTGTCAACCACGCTTTGTAGGTGCGTGCAGCTAGCCTGGTCCGCTGGCGAACAGAGTCCCGCTGTTTGGGCCGACCTCATAACCAAGATCAAGGACGGACTACTTTCTGCCCTCGATATTGCTGTGTCATCAAGAGAGGAGGAAGTCAAGCGATCGGAGGGCCAACGACATATGCCAGGATGGAATTTTTGCACGTATTTTATATTGAAGGTAGGTTGTGAAATTAATTTGTCCGTGATGCTTCAATAAAGATTGTTGTATCTAGGAGAGTCTGGCGAACTCGTATGAAGGAATCAATCTCTTCGAGGATGCGTTACAGCAGTACAGCGAGCTCGAGGGGGCTTTCATGCAGGTTCTAAGGGAGAAAAATATGTCGTGGTTTGGGAGTCTTATCCACCCAGCACCCAAGGACGATTCGTTGCCACTCTTATCCGTCTCCAAGAAGCCTTATCGCGACCTCATCCTTACCAGCACAATATCTGTTTTCGACCTCCGGATATATTTGCTAGCAAGACAAACCGTACTGCTAAACAAGATGCACCAACTGGCAGAGATCTGCCGTAGGGCAATCATGTTTTTGAGTACGTTCGGAAGACGATTGAGGGAGGTTGAGGTTAGAGCGTGTATCGATGTATTTTACACCACAAAGCTCATACGATTTTGTAGCCCTCGCTCCCAGAATATTTTATCGAGTCTTGGACATTCTCTTCTGCCCTCAGCGTCGTTGACCAGTGTGACACGTGGGTCTCGTCAATGCCGGAGATGGAAGGTGTACGCCTTGCACGTTACAGCGCAAGTAAGGGAGAGTTGATCGAGCTTGCAAAAAGCCAGGTCCGTGTTCCTGCCGGCGAGGGCATGTAATATCGCTCATTCAATGTGCAGCTCGATATCCTCGGCGTCAGAGCTGGACACTTACCCTCGAAGCAGCCATTCTCCCTGGCGATACCGGCTGCGGCCACTGTTTCGCATTCGCCACTCATGTCGGACAAGAGGTCTTCAGCCCACCGCATAAGCAATTACGAGATTACGCTTGCCGTTGGAGAGAGCGAAGCCTTCTACGACTTATATACAACCATTTCCAATCGTGCCATTGACATGTATGTGAAAGCGGGGCGACGAAAGTTTGCTCTTAAACTACATGGTAGCCTCGCCGCTCTGGACATGTAGGTTTGTTGTTATGTTATTTTTCACCTTCGGTGCTGAGCGCTCAATGTGCAGACACCGTGGAAGACTCTCAAACGCACTCACGATATTCTCATCCCTGCCAGCACACTACGCTCCTCATATGTGGACGTCCCTCGAGTCGTTCATGCTTTCGCGGGCGATTGATACACACGCCGACCTCGGTAGGCCGCATGATCGCGAATGGATACATCTCTTGCTTGCGTTTCTCAAGACATACGTCAACGAGATGAACATAGAACTAATCATTTCCGAGGAGGACATCAAAGCATATGTGACTAGACTTGTGGTCGCTCTTCGAGAGGCGGTTGGGACACTTGGCTCAGGTCATTGGTT